TCCACATATTTTCTCACTTTTATCATGGGTCTTAAATGAGCTGTTTTTTTTCTTTTGTATTTGTGATTATTAATCGGAGCATTTTGGTTTTCACTTCTTTGATTTATAGATATGCTGCATAAATACATTTTGATATTCCAAGCACAAGCCAATGGACGAGCCTAATCTGCTGAATTATTCCAGATATATACGTACAGTTTGTAATGCAGTCTGATGCGGCAAAAGGAGGACTTGTCTACTTGTAAAAATGAAAGAACAAAGAGTTGATTCAGGGAGCACTGTAAGCAGAATCCCAGCCTCCTCATGTGAAGTGCTCCTTAACCAGCGGTGCAGAGGACTGACTGACCCCATCACGGAGACATTCTGAAGCTGCAGAGAGCACGCCTAACTTTATCTGCGGATTCAGAGCCGATGGGAACAAAACTATAGATATTCTTACAAACAGCCGGGGGATAAAGTGAAAAATGTATCCAATCCAATATTATTTCCATAGCTTATAAAACATGTTTCCAAAGTGCTGCACGCATTAAAAGTAACACACTAAAATATACAAGTCTGCCAGCTTTTAATACACAACATAAACATATACATAAATAAACATAAAAGAATAGAATTAATAAAATAGATAATAGCATTTTAACACCATTATTTGTTAAGAGCCAGAGAGTAAACATGGGTCTAATATACAGTGTAACAATGTTTGCAATAATCCATAATCCATAATTGCAATAAAAGCAGAGATTGTGACAGATGGACACTGTCTGTGATCTACTGTTTTGTATGTTCCTGTTTTTACTGATTTATTTAAAGAGTCATTGGAATAAATTATGCTTTTCTTTAGCTGTAATGAATGACTTTGAAGAACTAACATTCATTTAGCCCCAATCAAATTATGTTTTGGGTTGTGAGCCTGCGAAATAATCTGCGTCATGTTAGTACCAACAAATACTAGTTTGTTTTGTTAAGTACTTTGAGTTGGCTTGTGTATGAACTGTGCTATACAAATAAACATGCATTGCCTACATGAGTTGGCAAGAACGTGTAGAGTATTTTTATGTGTAAAATAATTGGTTTAAAATGGACAGTCGTTAAATGTTTCATTCTAAATGCTTTATCTTCTTGTAGGTAATTATTTCATCATTATCGTTTGTAGGCAGTTAAGTAAGTAGGTCATCTTTATTCATATAGCGCATTTCACACGCAGCGTTTTATAATCGGATTACCAATATTTTTCGATTCACTCCACAAACTGGCGAATCGAAGCCTCTGGCCATCACCATGCTTTCCCTTTCACTTACATAGAGCTATTAGTCAGAGTAAACCTGAGCACCCGGAGAAAACTCTCCACAGACATGGGGAGAACATGCAAACTCCAAACAGAAAGGCCCTGTCAGGAGATAGAGTCGACCCAGGACTTTCTTGCTTTTAAATCCCATGTTGGGACTCATTTACCAATCAATATTGACAATCAAAGTACAATATTTATTGCTACTAAAAGTCAAAATAATAAGTCGATAAACTAAGTCCTAGTTCCATATCTTTCCCTGCATTTCCTCGTCTCTCTCTGCTGTTCACATAAACATAAACTATAGCTGTGTCAAAATCCCTCCCTGCACCACAGGGAACACTGTACCTAGGGTCATGAAATTACAGGATTTTTCACAGAAAGAAATTTAGGGAATTAACAGGATTGTATGGAAATAAAAAGGAATTAACTGGGAATATTCCAAACTGAAGATTGGCTCTTCATGGGGAATTTAATTATAGTTGAGGAAAGAATATTTTAGCATAAGTTTGACTGTAACAGATTTCATTGGAATATACTTGAATATCCATTTTTCCTTAGCTCACTGCTACTGAAACGACACAGTGCCTCAATCACATGAACACAGGATTTCTAAAAGACTGGAACAAACTTTTGAGCCCAAGGCTCAAGAATGTTTATTCCACAGGTTTAAATGTGGAAGTTTTGATGATATTATGGGGAACTTTTACAACTTACATCTTCAATCTGTTGACAAGCCATTTGCATGGATGTTTTCTAATGACTTCTGTTTACATTAATGCTTGGAATTGGTACCATTTAATTATAAGCAACCCAATCCCATATATAGAATATTTCCAATATTTCCCATTTTACCTTCCCATGGGAATTTACTGGAAATGTTTTGCTGCTTTGCAACCCTAACTCTACCACTATAAAAAAATATGTACATGCAATGACTGCATTGCTATATAAGGCAACAGGGCTCAAAGAACTTGAAAAAAGTAGCAGCATATAGTCCACCAAGGAATGTTACTCAATGTGGACCAGCTGATGAACAAGGTCACGTTCTATTCTGTGGAGACGCAGGAAGAAGGATTCTGACCATGAGATGGATCCAGTAACAAAAACGATTTAACAAAATCAGAGCCTCTGAAGTATGTATATAAAAATATATATATATATATATATATATATGTGTGTGTGTGTGTGTGTGTGCATTCATGGTCTGATCCTGCAGTTGACCTCTGATTTACACTTTGCCCTGATGATAATCTGATAATCCAATAATCAAAGTCATAGTTTAGTTCTGAATGTGTGAAAGCAGCTTCATTTTCTGGGATCAAGCGCGTTTTCAACTCTAATCGTTTAACCTTCATGTTTAGCCGACCACGTTGGCAGATTATGAAACAGTTGAATTGTCTCTTGTGCTGAAATCTATAGCAAAACAATCATGAGAAATATTCAGAAGCTCAACATCACTATGACCACATTCTCTCCATCACAGAAATGTAAGATCTTTGTTGCAAAATGTACACTAAAACATCTGACTCCAATCTCATCTCTGAGCATAAGCCAAAAAAATCATCTCTGGTGAAAAGCAGGCGTTGTTATGTGAGTGTTCTGTCATCTCACTAAATCCCTGGTCCAGGTACACCCCCACCCCCCTACTCTGTTAAATTTACTAGACCTTTGAGATTGCCTTGCTGCTATAACTCAGATCTCGAAATCTCCCCATATCCCATAAAACTACACACCAGGCAAAGCCATTCTGCCCAAGGGGTAGAAGAACAATGGAGACTAGCATCACCCGTGGCATTCAACACTACTCTAATCAGCGGGTTAATGCTCGACCACTGTATCGGCTCGCACACTTTGGGGTAGAGCGTAGAAGACTTATGTTTTATTCACTTTGCTGGACGAGCAGCATCGAGAAAGAAGGTTTGCTGCCAACAAGAAAACTGCAAATGAAATATTAAGAGCCAAGCAGCATCATCTATGAGATCAAATACAAACATGTAAATAACTTTTTTTTTTTTAACTCTGTGGTTTCCTAGAGTTCAGGCCAGAATGATCAGTATATTTGCACTAAGAAGCAAGTGAGTAAGAAATTATAGTACGTTAATATGTATTTATGATACTAATATGAGATTCACTGAAATGTACGCATTTTTAAGTATTACCGACTATAATAACCGATTTATGTGTTTGATAAATGTTTCCACACAATATAAACATTTCATATTCCTAATCATATTAATTGATATTCATGGAGAGTGTCTTTATAATTGGCTTTTATTTGTGTTTGGGGCTACATCTTGGCCTGGTCAGCATCTTGTTCATTACTTTGTGAGAGGTTTGTCACATGTGTTTACCTAGAGGGTAAATTTGTAGATTTTTCTAATACAGACAACCCATTAAACCAGGGCCATGGTGTGCACTCCCAATGAGTTCCGGTGTCAATTGGAGCTATAAATAAAGTTAAACTGAGTGAAAATCTTTGTGGACAGAAGTGCTATGCCTGGCACTATTCTCCCTGCATCGCCACTCTATTAGATTATTTTATATGATACTTATGCAGCCATCAAGCAACAGCTTTGTGGGAAAATGACAATAAATAAATGTAATGCAGAATAAACGTGTCAGTTGTCAGTGCTCTTTATTGCAAAACTGGCGACCAGGCGCCTGTAAGCTTTTGTAAATACTTCAATTTGCACTCCAGCTTGCATCATCCTCCTCACTTGCATATCTGTAAAAGCTAATCGCAGCCATGTGTCTAAATCCACTGAGTAAGCAGCTAAAGTTGCACGCACAAACGCGCCTCGTTCTCGTGAAGTGTGAAGTGCCCTTGCTCCTGATCCTCAGACCACAAACACTGGTTAACCCATGCGCTTTGAGTAAGTTAGATTTGGGAAACAGCCTGATCATCTCCGGGTGTGGAGGGGCCCGGGGGCATTGATTCACTTGCTGACACCAGAATTGATGAGGGATCAAGCTGGCCACGGTCCAGCGGAGGCAGATTGGACAGAGAAGAGGAGAAATAAGGGAAGAAAAGAAGGGGGAGGTATGTGGAGAAATGTAGCCACTGCTCAGAGGCGGGTAAAGGAGGATGGGATGGGTGTGAGCGCGGTGCTGGTGTGTGGCAAAGGGTGGACTCCCCAGAGAAACACTCCTACTCGGAGCTCCTGGGGATGACTTGTTAAGCCATTGACCTTTAATGCGCACTTGTCGTTTAATGCGTTACACATGTTTGTCCCCGGGGCGCTTCATGGCACCGGGACGAGCCCACTCTGACCTGTGCTTAAACATGCACTGTGATTGGCACCGACCATTGCTGTTTCCCTGCCCCAATCCATGAAGCCATGTGGCTGGATCTTTTGGGGTGAGGTGGGGCAGGTGGGCCGAGGTGATGGGTGTGACAACAAGGGGGACTATATAGCAACAGGGCAGTCCTTCATCCGCATAGAAAACACATGGTTCTAAACGCTTCGGTCACACCGCTGGGGATGTTGGTCATGCGTCCATGCATGAATAACAATCAGTGCGCACCAACACAAAACAAGTCAATAGAAGATATTGACAACATGCATTATTAAAAACCCTGAACCGAGTCTCGTTTATTATGGGAAACACTAATAATCTGACCGTGTGTCCAGACGACAATGCCAGTTTCGTTGCCAAACAGCCTTTGTCATGTTTTAAATGTATCACATAAAGTACAAATCCAAACGCTTACCTTCTACAGCCAGGATCATAGGAACGACGAGGCTGCACAGCCACAGCAAGTAATCCATTGTCATAAAGCAGACGTTTGCAACATGAAGAATAGTGTGTGGAGACTTGGATGGAAGGATGGAGACTCAGACGCACACAGCAGCAGCTGAAAAGCTTTGTGTTCCTCTCATAGTGACGCGAGAGACTCGTTCACCGCCTCATGGTCCTTTACATTCTCTTCAAAATGTCCACATTCACAGGGAAAACCATCCAGGTATCGACGCGCTGCAGCGGAGGTGAACGCGGCACGATGCGCCCCGTTAAAGACCCTTCTTTATGTTACTTTACCAACACAAAACCTCCTCCGTCCAGCGGCGCATCTTGGCCCCTCTCCTCCCCGCGCGTAAAGACTGAGCCCGGCTGCGCACTCTGGCAAGTCCACGGTGGAAGAAGCCTGCGTCCAGAGCAACCCCCGCGTTCCGCTGCTGTTACTTCAGTGAGAGACGTGCGTCGGAATGGCAACAGTGGGACAGTCTTCACCTCGGGGGCTGGGGGCTCCAGCGGCGCCAACACACAAGGCAGAGGGGACACGGGCTTCCGGTGCGCGTCTACATAATAAACGCACTTTAGTAAAAACACATGCATGTGTTGGGCTTATCGTGTTGAATAGTAACACATGACGAGATCAAGTCCAGGCTGGGAAATATATTTAACACAGATTTCTAAAGTGACTATTTCTGAAATTGACTTTGTCTGCAGCCGTGGATAGTGTTGATTTACATCCCTTTGTTATTCAAATGAGTTAGGATCCTATTGGGTTTCATTCAGCTTTTCAGTTACAAATCACTTGAAACGAACTAACAACGAATCAACAAATTTGTCCGAGCTGGACACAGGGGAGAGGACAGCCAAACGAAAGTATCACTTCCGAAAGCGTTCCCTGCCGCGAGAAACGGACTCATATTATTCAGCTGCTGATTACGACACAGGGGAGTTTAGGTGGTACTTATTATGAGCTATATGCCATTTCACTTGCACTTTATTTCGATGCTGGACTATATCTGCCATGAAAAGTCCAATAGAAAAAAAAATCATATTCAAATAATGATATTGTGTAAATGTATTGCTTTTCATGTTAGTATATATACAAATTCAGGAATACATTAAAGAGGTGATGGTATAAAATATAAAAAGAATCAACACGAATGCAAGGTTAGTCACAATCAGTTCACTGTGCAGTGACGTCACTGCCTCCAGCCCCAGGTCACCGCAACATCAACATTGGGTTCCTCAGGGAAGGAAGAAGTCCAGTTGACTTGTGTGATGCGCCCCATGTGAGCTGTTTTTCATTGTTGATTAATTGTATTTCTCAGTAAAATGTACCAAAATCCCCATTTTTTCAATTGAAAATGAAAGTAGTTAGCGCTCATGGTTCACAGCAAGAACGTCCTGGGTTCAGTTTCATCGAACACTAAACATGCACAATCTGATATTACCTTGTAATTTAGAATACAGGGTTAATGTCACGCCTTTGACAAGGACTGTAATGTTTACAACATCATGGACCACATGTTTCTGAACCACTTCTTTAGTTCATTTTATTATTTGTTTTTATTTAAAAAAATTCTTTAATCTTTTGTGTGAATGTATCTTTTTGGCAAATCCTGCCAAACAGTTAAATATTTCTGCATATGCAGGAGAAGCACACAGGGCACAGATGCTGCTATCTTTTTTATTATTATTACAATTGTTAAGACTTTCTGATGCCCAATTTAGATTAATTATTCAAAATAACATTAAAGTATCATATTGTTCTTTGGAATTTGAAACGGTGCACCAAAGATGCTCTGTGGATAAAACGTAAAAGATGTGATTTACAAAAGGGAGTAAATATTCTAAAGATTTAACTTTTTGATCCAGATATACTATAACCTGCGCATGTGTCAGCGCCGAGCAAACCTGAGCTCATAAACCATATGCATTATTGTGAAATCCAGCCGTACTTCCTCTGTCCATGTGGGCTTGACTGTTTCGGGGGGAGTGAGGAGAGAGTGATGGAGTGGGAGGTGGCAACAGGGGCGACCGGTTGTCCACACAGAGATCAGTGCTCTGGTCACCACACACACACAAATGCACACACATGCACACACATACACATACATATACACACAATACAGTACACACGTACACACACACGCACACACAGACACATACACACAGACACACACACACTCACTTGCACACACAGACACACACTCACACCGGGTGGATGGGTGCCTCAGGTCGATCAGATCTGCCGTTAAATAGAGCAAAGCCGCATCAATACGAGCTTTGATAATGGTCCCAACACTTTTTTTGTGGGATATTGAGCAGACAATGAGGTGACCAGCTGGCATCTGTTCAGAGAGGGGCACAGCCTGGCGTGTGCAGGAGATTACATACAATTTTATGGACACACAAAAAAAGAGACTAGAATTAAATGGTTTTCTAAAATGTTTGCTATTATCCAATATGGCACAATTTATTATTCCAACACAGTATTATATTATTTGTTGCAATGGTAAAAAGGTCTATTATTATAAAGTAAAGTAAAGCAAAATGTGTGAATTTAATATTATGGCAGAAATAGACCACTATTCTACAGCATTAGATCCGGTAAAATAATCCATATTAGATAGAACTGTGAAGCGGGAGTCCACTAAGGTGCCAGAAGTAATAGGAGTTAACAGTTCAAAGACATGATGGAGGTTGACTGGTAACTAAAACGTAACATTGTGAGGTATTGGCCCCAAACAGGTTTTCAATATTTATTTATTTTTTGGAGGGAATACTCATGCCACTTTTATTTGTGGAACCTCCAGTAAATTTATCACAGCATTGAAATGATTTTCTGCATTGACTGTATGAATCACACATAAATCCACGTGTTTTGACCACAGATGTCAATAATGCCAAAGGCTGCCTTCACAGACTTTCCCTGAGGGGAGTTTATGAAGGCAGACACAGTTTACCCCGCATCAAAGTGGCATGTTCAGACAGCCCTATTGTCCACCCTTTGCCCATCCTTATTAGCTCGTGTCATACTCTGACCTCTCTCGGCAAAGTCCTGTGGTCACCCTTTTTAAACCAAACCCCTCTTTTGTGCCATGGCTGAGCTCCAGTAGAGAGAATCTGGTCCTGGCTGCTCATCGCTCTCAGCTTTTAAGCACAAGGCTTCCCTTCACAGAGCTAATTCATTCGTCGACTCCCCTCAAACCCCCTCCTCCTCTGTCCCGAGCTCCCCTGCTGAACCCCAGGAACACACACATTCAAATCCCACCCCGTCCTGTCCTGTCTCACACCCCTCTCCCCTAAAGTCTTACCCCCTCCCCACTTTCAGAACGTCTTTTTGAGTGTGCTCGCCGCCCTTCTCTATCAGCCAAAGTTTCCTTTTGTCCAGAGGGCTTTGTTCACTAATTAACTACAGTTCAGTTCCCAGCAGGCCCGCTTCATCCTCAAAACTGACACCATGATGGACAGCTCCTTTTTACCTCCTATAGCCCAAACCGGGGGGAAACAGCCTCACAGACAACACCACTCCCACAGGATGCTTTAAGGATTATACCGACTGTTCTCCTATATGAAAGTGTGGGCGAGCAGTGCATATGATAGTTCTGACGCCTCGACTGTTTGTGGACTATTGTGGAATCTGACCTGCTTATTTTCTGTGTTACTTGTTCTGACACACATTGAGAGACAAATCATGTGAAAAGCCTGGTCTCCTCTTGTTTTCATTTCTCTGTTTTATACAACGTTATGCAACATCAAGATTTTTGAAATATAAGGCTGAGTAACTTACTGATCGAGCCATATTTTCAATTGGAAACAACTAAACTTTGTATGACTAAATATACATCATGGCCTCTCTTAGTTCTGAGGTCCAGCTGCTATAAAAAAAAGAGAAATAAAAAACCTGAATTTGAATTTTTTCTAGACTCTACTCTACTGTTTACTATTCTGTTAACTCTCACTTGTAATTATCAGGGAGAAAAGCCACTGTACTTACAATAAGAGTAAGAGAGATAAATTAGAATAATGTTCAAAACTTACAATTTGAAACTATGATAGCCTCAAGCCGTCATTTGTTTTCATATTGATAATTGGTTCACAGCTGTAAAAACCCAAATAAAACTTGTTTTTTTTTCTGTTGAAGATCCAGGCAATTTAACCACATTTATGGCCATCTATCAACATTTATGGACATTGTTCATCCGCCCCGTATGGACCAATGGCTCTGTGTGTTTTTTATTGGTGCATTTCTGTTTTAACTGTGTTATGATTTAGGGCTATAAAAAAATAAATGAAATTGTCCTGAATTGAAAATGGGCTGTAAGCCACGATCATCGACACTATAACAGACAAAGACCTGTCATATGTAAGTCTGCATGAAATTAGTCTATATCATATTGGTTTCACATTTTTAGTTGAATTACAGAAATCAATTACATTTTGAACAATATTCTAATTCAAATCAAGATAAAGACTGGATTCAAGCTTCAAAGATTGATTTAATTTTGATAGATAGTTGTAGTATTGGGCATATATCTCTTCAAGTTTCCCTGTTTTTTTCATTTCAATCTTTTCAGACCTGCTCTTTTAGAAGGCTATTAACAACTTAGACAATGTTCATCTTTACAGACCTGATAGGCCGTTGTGCGTGCTTGGAATGACAATGCGACAGGAGGAATAAAGAATTTCCACTCTAGAGAGGGCTTGTCTCTGTTTTTGCAGATGAGAAATCAGTGCTTATGGCTTTGGAATGGAAAGATACATATTTCACAAGGCGTGGCGAGGAGTCAGAGATGAAGTGTGTGAGGAGGACAGAGAGAAGCACAAGGTTAATCTGACCAGAAGGATTCACGAACAGCAGTGGCTAGGGTTTTTTTTTATATTTTCAAAGTTTTTTATATTTCTGCAGGTATAGCTGAAAAAATACTGGTCAACATAATAAAATAATTGCTACATGTAACAAAAAGATGTAAAAATAAAAGTAAAACACAAAGCTTATATTTCCCAATAATATAAGCTTCATGTCTCCAGGCCTCATTATGTCCAGACACCAGTGCACAGGAGCTGAGTGAAAGTGGTCCTTACCCTGTGTGAGTGTCTTTTTCTCTCAAAACCCCTATGACACAGCTTTACAGTCGATATGGTCCAGATAACTTTGCTCATTACCCAAAACGTTTCTCCTCTTGATCAAATCCTGTTAGTGCCATTTCTATCAAGTTAGTGGTGACTGAAGGTCATCATGTGAAGGAAAAGCAAAGAGTGGGCTCCATCCACTCAATCTATACTTTATTTAACATTGAATGCAGGTGATATTTCTCTTCCAGAATGCACTGTTGCTTTAAGAGATCCTCCACTCAAGCTGCTGTAGCTGATGTGCAGAAAATAATGTGTCAACGCTCACCGGGAGCCTCTGTGAGTGGGGACAACACTGACTGATAATGAGGCCGTAATAGTCGTAATCAAGACGCAATTCTTAACATATTTGAATAACTGTGCCAGATTCACCAACTAAAATAAAGAGCTCTTCAAACAGACAGCAACGAGATATGAAATATTACTGCATTAGAG